AAATCTAGCCAATACACCCCATAGTAGAGTAATTACTGGACTCCAAATGCCATCATCCTATTTTGTTCTTGGCATATTTTATGAAAAAAGAGTGCAGTTATGTTTTATGCAAAAAAAAAATACCGAGTGTGATAACAGTTTTTTAATAAGCATGGCTTAAATTTTAATCACCTGCATGCCATTAACAATAATAATGATGATGAATTAAAGAAGTTCTACAGAGCTTTCATAGTGTATAGATTGTGTTTAGATAATTTGGATATTAATTTAATCAGTCCAATACTGCAAGCAAAACAGCTGATCATGTGAATCAGAAAAAAATTGCTCAAATTTTTAGCAAATAATTTGATTTTAGTAGAAAAAATAAATGTAATAAATTATTTATGGTCATATAATAATACAAGAATTTCACCAAATCATATTATTTACAGTGATATAATAATAATAATAATAATAATAATAATAATAATAATAATAATACAAATATTTAACCAAATCAGTGGATAGCAGATTTGCTTTCATAACTTGAAACGCTTTTGGCTACCTATAGGATGAGAGTAAAATTGGGGTGTCATTTCATGCTAGTTTTAGAAGTTTAGCAGGAAATGAAGCACCTGTAAAATAAAATACATGTACATGCTAAAAAGGTGACAAAATTAACCTTATAAGTGTTTACTGCTGGGTAAAAATATATCAAAGTCGTACCCAAATCATAGAAATGCACAGAGCTTTCGCATAGTAACTCATTTTATTTACAAGAAATATTTTTATATAACTGATCTGGTTAAAAATGAATCATACAGATGTATCTCCCCTTGGGGTAAGTGAATAGCACTAGGTACACTATAAAATATTATTCACTGCCTATTTTGGGTAGTGGATAATATTTATCAGATGAAAACAAGTTCTTATAAATAATAATTAGAGGAATATCGCTTATCACAATAATTTGAGGCTAATTTTATTTCCTGTGGTTGATGTTCTGTCCATTAGTAAGGATGTTACATCTACATTGGGAGTGATGTGTACGTGTTGTCATCGTATAACCATTTGCCAATAGTATCAATTGAATCTAGAAAGAGTATATTTGAAGTATACCACTCAAATGGAGTTACGTTTTACCTGTACCAACCTTAGATAATTATGAACCAGCTAGTGTTGACTTGCACTTTCAAACCCAATGTACATTCTTATACACTTATGAATTTAGATGGTTTCACATTGTATGTGGTTTTTATTTAAAGGCATATATTTTGTGGTACATGCAGTGCCCTGCAGAGGCCAATGCAACTTTCTTTTAATTTATCTTGCTTTTTATTGTACAGTGTATATTAAAGATAATAAAGTCATTTTATTCTTGAAATTTTGTTTGGTGTCTAAATTGTTTGTCAGTCATTTATGGTACCAAATGAAAATAAGAAGCATGTGGATAATGATGTTTTGATCAAATTTGCTATCTTGAGCGAAAGTGTAAAAAAGTGATATTTTAATCAACTTTGTTTACCTTACTTAAAGTATGGAAAACTGCTATCATGGCAATATTTGCCATCCTGAGCAAAGATACAGAAGAACTGATATTTGATCAACTTTGCTACAATGGGGAAAAGTATGGGAAACTACTGTTTTGATCATATCTGCCATCCTGAGCAAAATTGAGAATAAAGTGGTATTTGGCCAAATTTGCTACCCTGAGCAAAACAGTGGCAAACGCCTATTTTGATCATATTTGCCACACTGAGCAAAGATAGGGAAGAAGTGATAATTTGACCTCATTTACTACACTGGGCGATACACAAATAAGATGAATTTTTGCTCAGATTTACTATCCTGGGCAAAACTGTTGAAAAATGAGTTTTGGTCACTTTTGCTACATGGAGCAAAAATGTGGCAAATTACTACTTTGACAGAATTTGCTATAGACAGCAAAAGCATTCAAAAATTCATCTTCGATCGCTTTTGCCCATTTGGGCAAAAACCTGACAAATGTCAGTTTTGCTATCAAGTTTGACACCCCTGTAAATGCCTTGATAAAGTAAAGATTATCCTTGTTTTTACACACGGGGCAAATTTGAGGCAAATTCGGCATTTACCATCTTTGCCACTAATGCAAAATTATGGCAAAGTTGGTCCTATGTCATGTGGCAAAATTGAGCAAAATTAAGCAAATGTGGCATTTGCAGATGATTTGCTCCGAATTTGCTATAGAGGTAAATCCGTTTTTTCGTCCAGTGTAAAAGTCAAGCTGTTCATTCATATAATACAAGACGCTCTGATGATATTCGCTTACCCCTACCCAGAACAAACTGGGGTAGACAAACTTTTATTTTTCACGCCGCGAACGACTGGAACAGCCTTCCAAATGTTTAAAAAGAGTGTAATATTTTATCTATTTTTAAATCCAAGTTAAAAACTTTTTTAAAAGATCTCAGCTAATTTTAAACCTTGATATTTTTTTGTATAATCGATTTTAAGATTTTAAATTTTTAAATTTGTTTTACTTGTAAACATATTTTACTTTTTTCGTAATTTTTAATTAATTAGTTAGATTAATGCATGAGGGCCCCACTGAAAACCGCCTTAGCGAGTTGGGCTCTCTCTATAAATATTATTATTATTATTATTATTATATAAAATGGGATTTTTAACCAGCAACCTAATCATAATCAATCATCAGGAAAACGCGGTACTACTGGCCCCCAAGGACCTCCTGGCCCACCTGGCCCCGCTGGTGCCACTGGTGCTCGTGGCCCTATTGGCCCCATTGGCCCTACTGGTGTTCATGGTCCTACTGGCCCGACTGGCGTTCATGGACCTCGTGGCTTTACTGGACCTACTGGCCCCGCTGGTGCATTGGGCACTGGTTTTAATCTCACATCAGATGGGAATTATGATATGTCAAACAAAAAACTGACAAATATGGCTAAAGGGACTGCTTCCAGTGATGCCGTAACAAAAAATCAACTTGATACTAAACTATCCCTATCTGGTGGATTAATGACCGGCAATTTAGATATGAATAATAATAGGTTATACAATGTGGCACAACCAAATGGTGATAATCAACCAGCTAAAAAAAAATTGCTCAGAAAATAAATTCTTGGATAAGTCCAGTGGAGTTATGGCAGGATCACTAAATATGTCCAACAATAAAATTACTCATCTTGCCAAACCAACTGATGATAACGGTCGATGCATAGATAATAATTATTTGAAACTGTCTGGTGGAACAATGAACGGCAATATAATATTAAACAGTACTTTGCTTCTTTCACAATATCAAGCACTAAGCTGGACCACTGGAAATGCTTTTTTTGTACAAATTACTAATCCGTTTATTCCCGATTCAATATGGTCAAAAAGAAGATCATCAATCTTGGAGACCCGACTGATGCTACTGACGTGATTAATAAACAGTATTTGGAAAAATCTCATGTTAAACCCAGCCATTACAATAATGAATTCAAATACTTGATGACTAATAAATTAAGACGGACTGATCTTCAGGCGGATAGTTTTAACATTATCAAAATTGATAATTTAATGCGCCAAGATTGTAACTACGATCAATACAACCACAAAGTTCTATACACAACTATTATAAAGGATCAGCAAGGAGGCTATTCATATAAAATGGGAATAAATTGTTATCAACTTGATAAGGATAAACATTATACTCTCTGTATTGAAAATCCCAATTCAGATTACCAATTATGGCATAAATCAGTGGCCACAATTGATAAAACCACATCGCAAAGGGTAACAATTGCTGGTTTTATGGTACAAAAGTTTTCTCACCAGTACACAAATAGTAATGGGAATGTTGAGTACATGTATTATATCAAAATAATTGTAAACTTTCAAAAAACTGTAACAAATCTGCCTTACAGTCTGCATCTTTATGTTAATATACCCCAGGCAGGTATTGATCTCAATATTTACCCAACAAATTGGACAAAAAACTGGATTATCGCTTATGGTGTTTTCGGAAAAGTGTCATCAATTGATCCCCAAAAAACATATGATTACCATACGGTATTTGATATCAAACCAACAGAGGTTGTTTTCAATGTTGATCTGGATATGAACAGAAAGAAAATATTAAATATTGCTCCTGATAAAACTCGAAATAACTCCGCAGCTACCGTGAAGATGCTCAAAGATTTGGAGACAAAATTGAGCCCTCGTACAAAAAATAATGCGTATAGGGAAATATTTGAAGAATTTTATGATTTAAGCGATGCAGGTATCTATAAAATTGCATCACATCCACCAGGTATCATATTTTATGGCTTACTTCCTAACATGACATTTTTCAATATAAATGTGGCCAATATTGAGAAAGGAGGATTGAGGATACAAAATAAACCATTGAATTTAGCATTATTCAGTAAAAAGAGCTTTACTATTTGTGTTGTTATGCAGCTGTGGCTGAACAGAGCCATGTATATAAAAACGTTTATGATAAATGAAGCTGATGAAAAACCACATTTCATTTATGACAAAACAACAAAGAAATTAACACTGCAAACTAATGGTCTGAAGATTGGGACAGCTAATGAAACTTTTATCACATTACTAGATAGTTTCAATGGTAAACGTGTTGTGTTTTGGCTAACTAAGAAAGGTATAGGGGGTACCCCAACAGTAAAAGCTTCAATTAGCAATCATTCTGCAACACTAACACTAAGTTCAGCTTTAGCGTCTCAGAGTAACTACACATTCAGAACATCCTCAGAAGATGCAGTAATCCATAAAGTAATGTACACTCCAAATTTTTATGACCTGGATTCTATCGAATTTCATAGAATAATGATTCAAGAGAAACTGAGCCGTTCTTATGTTCTGTAAATAATCTAAACTAATGATACAATGAGTCAGAAGGAAACTATATTTCACTTTAATCATATCGATAAAAGCAAAACAAAAGAGGAAATACAGGAAATCAAAGAACTGTATGAATATTACCATTTCAAACATTGGATTTACCAAAAGGCCTACAACTACTTCAAAAAACTGCATCTCCTATTAAATATATGCTCCACTGGGTTGATAGTAATCGGAACTGTTGCTGGTGGTTTGACAGCCAACCCAGCCATTCTAGGAAGCATATCAGGCCCTAGTTTAGTTCTTAAAACGTTTTCTGACACGAAAGACCACAAAAAGAAAATTGAGATGGCTAAGTTTGTTTGTACTACCTACGACAAAGTATTAGTCGGGCTGAGAACTTCATTGCGAGGAGGTACCTTTGATAAGGATGATTCCTGAAGGAAATGTCAGTCCTCGATGAAACAATCGTTGATCTTGCCCCATTAGTAACAAGATTTGAAAAACAGCACGGTAGAAAATTCCTCTCCCGTCCAACAGAAACTGAATAAATGTTTCTCTTTCCATAAAACAAGATGGCGGACGGTTTATGGTCACAATCTCGTCCCCAGGGTCTCTCGCTCAATGAATAAAATCTGTTTCCAGTTAGGGTTTTCCCTTACTTCCTGTCTAGTTCTGAGAAATTAGTCTATTGATATCAGTCTTAATTAAGGAATAAACTCTCTTCCACCAATCTTCATAATATTTTGATGTACTTTTTGACCGAGTAAGAGGAATAAATTTGTATCCTACTCCTAAAATGTCGAATAGTTGCTTGATAATAAAATTTACACTGATGTGCCGTTTCCGACCAAAATTATTGACTTCCGGTGTAACACGGTCAAGTAGTTGGAATATTCTCAGAATATTCTCTCTATTATAGTACCCAATGTGGATATTATTTTTTTGTGCGATACCATCCGTGACATTTATGATATGATATTTTCTGTGATAAACGGACTTCTTTCTAATCCTGTGTCGATTCCCATAAAAATCAAAATATTCGGGGGCAAAATATTCACCATGCACTTGGCCACAATTTTTACACACGATAAAACCGTCTTTGATCAGTCTCATAGAACCGCAACAAAAATATCGCCTGGGCTTACCGGGGTCTTGGATCTGTTTATTACAAAAGACGCAATTAAAATATCTCTCTTGGATCAATAATTCGTGAACTTCTTTATTACACATTACTATACTATTATAAGATTATAATTTGTTAAATGTATTGGCCCACACTCAACTTCACAAATCATTATAGTTTCACAGAATATTCCACAGACTGTAGAAAATTTTGTGTAATCATCTGATTGGTCGAGAGTATAGCCATCTAGAACATTCTAATGACCTAAATAGTTTACGCACAATGATTACGCAAAAATGAAACATTTCACTGAAAATTTTCACAATTTCGTAGATGCAATGCGTAGCTTCTGATTGGTTAAGAGAATAACCTTCCAAAACATTCTAATGACTTATTTCCTTGGGGAAGCCCCTATTTGATAATGGCCATAAGCATAACTGTGTATTCCATCCTCATGGATATATCTTTTATCATCAAAGCAGCTCAAAGTAATTTTGTTTAATTGTTAGCTCCCAATTTGATGATGGTCACTCCTGATTGTGCGCATACTGTGTAACATTTGTTTCCCATTCAATAAGCAATTGTCATGTGTGATATTCTTTTTGAAAAGATATTTTCTGACCCTCTTAGATGTCTTTTTATTTTTACCATTGTCTTTCACATAAGAATACATCTTACTTCGAAGACCAATAAATTCTCTGATTGGTATGCCAGCTGCCTCATCTTTAAACTTTCCAATTACTTTCTTATTCTCCACACTGAAATATGGACTGTCTTGTGGGTAATCACTATTATCAAATAATTGTTTGTCCTCCCATAGTTCCTTATAAACATCCTTTGTCTCAATCTCATGACAAAGAGTATCTGTATCAGTAAACAATAATTTAGCTTTTGGCCCATACTTATTTTTAATATAATTATGGTGAAAGTCGTACATGAGAGTTTTTGATAGATCTAAAGTACACATGCCCACATAAGCTGGTCTGTCTAGTGTTAGTGTTTCTTTGATCTTGTGAACTGCCACAAGGTCCTCATTGAATATTTTACTGTTAACGTAGGTCGGCTTGCTCACAAGTTTGGATAATTTCTTCTGCTCATGCAGTCACTAATCTCACATCAACGGGCTTTCCTATGTTCTCCATAGTTTTTCCAGATACGCTGTTGTTTAATAATTTAAAAAAGTCCTTCTCAAATGCATTCTTAGCATTCATCCTCCTTTGGGTATTAAAATTAATATACTGTGCGAGCCAGGGAGACTGGTCAAATTCTAATACCCTATGTACTTTCTTCAATTTAAGACCAAGAGACAGGTAGAGTTGCAGATTTCTATAATGTAGTACATAATTCTTTTTAGCGGGGTTCCCTCGCGCGCGAAGCGCGCGTGGGACAGAGCCCCATACTCACAGAATATGGTCAACCTCCTTTCTTTTGGTTGTCACGTGACTGACCGAGCGCACGTACGTACGTACATACGCGTCTACAGATTGTACGGGTAGGGTAGGGGAGACTATCAAAAGGAAGGGAGGGGCGTCTCAGGCGTGTCTTGGCAAATCCACATCTTTTACATTGGCCATTCACGATATGGTCAATTGACAGCTGTCAAAACAGGATAGCCACTGTCCAGTATCACATTGCCATATCGAGGGCTTATGTGTCAACTCATCAAGGTGACGTGATTTATTTGGAAGCTGTCCGCTGACCAGTTGTTTTACTAGATCGCGATCAATGTTCAATCTCATACTTTCTAGCCAGTTTGAGAGCACAGGAAAACTGATAATGCACACATCCATTGGACATCAATGGTTTGATCAATTGACAGCTGTCAAAACAGGGTATCCGCTGACCAGTATCACTTGACCGTATCGCGGGCTCAGGTGTTGAGCCATAGAGGGCAAGTTTTATTTTGAAGTTATCCGCTGACAAGTTACTAGCTTTCAAATGATTGCAGGCTCAAGTTTGACTTTTTTTTCATTCATGTGAAATATGTTTTGTTTTTGTGCCGCACAATTAAAATTTTGATTTAAAACTGACCTCGGACCCGAAAATTTACCCAGCTATTACAGGCAAAACAGTTGCTTTTGACTTTGCTCACCATGGTCACGCGTTGGTCACGCTCTACGTTCATTTTTTATGCTCTGATTGGTCAAAATTTGACAGGTGAGCTCATGCGGAAAATTTATGCAGCATCTTGAATCGTGTTTACTTTGACAGCTTAAGCTGACAGAGTTTTGTGTCAACTTGTGATGTTTTTAACTGTCTTTTTCCACTGGATGCACAAAATGAAATTCAGCTGCTATCAGGAGTCTTCTGTTATTCATGGCTAGTTGGGTTTTGGTTGAGAAATTAATACATCACTTGTCAAAGTCGGGAATTCGATTTCGGATGGCAACGTTTTTGTTTTCCACCTTGCTTGATGCGTAAAGGTTGAAAGGTCTGAAGCGATACTGGCCTTACCTGATACCTTTCAGGAGCTGCATCTCGAATGGTAAGCCTCAGTAATTATTGTGTTTGATGTTTTTTTTATATATATCTAATTTAAAGAAATCGAGCGTAGTTTATGCGGCTATGTAGTTTATGCACGTTTGTAAGATTTCAGACAATTTGATCTGACCAAGAATCAGGTAAACTTGATATAAGCTTACACAACTTTAAAAAGTCTTTAGACATTTTCTCACCGCAGATAGAAAGAAAACGTTCCAAAGAACATTTAGTTATAATTCTGGCTGTAAAAGAAAGCTTTGAGCGATTTTCTTGCCTCGAGTTCATCTGTGAATAAATACCGGGAAGCCGGCTTAAAACATAAACTTAAGCTTAACCTTGAAGACTCAGGATTTTTAGAGACACTTTAACATTTGGCTTCGTGAATGAAAAATGTTTTCTCTGTATATGTTTCGCCGAATTATATTTCTTTTATTGATTGTTGGTAGTCTCTCTTGTATTTAATCGCTGTGCCTTTGTTTTCAGTCGTTCAGTTAACATCGCTTGCAGGAGTACTCAAAATGCCGCGCATATCAAAAGCTTTTAAAGATTACAGATCGATAAAACCATTAAATAAAAAATAAACATAATAATTTCTTTATTATGTTGGAGCTTAACTTTAGTATGTTCGTTCAAACATTCGCTACAGCTCGCACTACAAAAGTGAGAACTGGCTGGCTGTATATGTGATTTTGGAATTTTTTTAACGGTTTAGCTAAAAGCCCACGCGTGCTTCGATCGTCCTGAATATTGAATGAGGGCAATTTCTGTTGCAAAATATTGTGAAATACTGCATTCTGTCCGAGGTCTGTATGATAAAAACAGTACCTCATAGTACTGTTTCACCTCAGATGTGATGTATAAATGGTATAAAAGGTTGGTTTACACGCAACCAGATTTATTGGCAAGATTTTGTAAAGTAAACTTGTCGAACGCAAAAAAATTCGACCTGATTTTTTTTCCAGGCCTAATTAATCTTACGGTGATCAAGAGCCATTATGGCTCTTAAATGTGATCGAAGATGATTGCTATTTGTTGGGTGTACATATGAGGTTATCAACTCGGTGTAAGATTTTGTTCACTCTTGGGCTCTTTGCAAATTATTTTTCTCTAAAATCACTTAGCCTTTCCCTCAAAAGTCACATGAATGTGCTATATGCTATAAAGTTAACTGAATTGTGGAATACAAGTTTATTGTTTGATTTAAATTATAAATACATTAATGGGAGCCTCGCTTTTAGCCCTGGCTAAATCTATATATTACTGGCTAGTGTTGGAATTAGCTTAGCAACCTGGCCAATATTTATTCCAAACTGCTCCTGAATATTTTTGCATTTCTTTGGTAACTTTCATTTTCTCCGCAGCTAGAGGATAATAGTTGTGCAGCTCATGTAATTCTTTGGGGTATTCCAAATCGACTTCCAAAATCATACCCTTTTTTCTGTCTTCTGTACAGGCAGCTAGATTAACTTTTTGTATTTGTTCTTCAGTCATCCACCTAAAACCACCTGTTGGTAAACATTGAGACATCACCAATCCATAAAGGTTATTAGCGTCTAGATACATTATATACTTACTTGGTTTCTCTGGATTATACCCGCTCATATAATTGTTATTAGCTTCTCCTCGTCGGTTAGCAATATGAGAAATGCCGCCATGCCACGCAATCCCTTTTCTATAAACTGAAACATATCAACATCCTTCATAAGCTCCAATCTAATACCAGTCATTTTCAACATAGCATCCCAACTTAAGCCGGGAGATGTAAAATAGTAGCAGGTGACTAATTTATAATACTGATGGCAGGTCTTACGGAAGTTCTCAAAAACATCAGCTAATAGGAGAATATCAGACTTCAAATACAGATCATGATAGTCACCCATTGTCCTCATATTAAAAGTATTCCAGACTTTTTGGGCATGTCGGTATTGCTGATCAGAATTACCCTCATCTGTCAGTATACTATAGAATTTCTCTTTGGGGGTAGTTGCTGGTCACCAAACTTCTGAAAACTGTCCATGAAATCGTGAGGATATACTCCTTTCTGTTTCATCAGTGCTAGTTTCTCATTTGGGAACACCTGACTAATATACTTGAATGCATCGGTGGATAAATTAGCAGCCAATCTCTCCAAACTGCTTGCCATAAACTGGCAACTGTCTAGAAATACTAAGTGTTTACCCAACATAAATGCCATATACTTTTCCATATTATTCGGGATGCAGTTTATACTCAAATTATTGCTTTTTCCAATTGATCCAATTTCTTGCATAATAAAATGGGAATCATATCCACGGAGATTATGAAAAATAAAAGGGATCTTGAATTTACTTGGGTCAAGCTTCAGTATTAGATTGCAGTCCTGGTGTGCTGATCCTCTATACTTGCCGGTGATGTGACAATGATCCTTAACCCGGATATCTGTTTTCTTATACTTACGCTCACAAATATGGCATTCCTCAGCAGCCTTGAATAATTCTTCCTCCTCGTCCGTCATCTGAAGTGGCTTTTGGAACTCAGTAGCAATCATCTTCCGGCAATATTCTACTTCTGAGAGCATATCTAACATAAAGTAGCTGATAGAATTCTCCCCTCGATAAATTTTCACTGGTTTTGAATATGTATCATCATAGCAACAGACTACTTTGTAACCATAACTACAGCCAGTGTGTTTTTGGTACTTATCAGTATAAGATTTAGCACCATCCGGTTGGCACCCAGATACTTTCTCTGTAATTGCCTCGAAATCTGCATAAATTGCAAAAGGTACTGGCATCTGCTTATAATTTTCAAATTGGACCTTTTTACCTTCCTTGGGCATCCTTATTGCTTGTTCCTCATTTATTACCATACAATTGCTCTTGTGTTTTGCTAGTATTTCTTCAGTGCTAAGACACTGGAGACAGTGCATGCAAAACTGTTACGGTGTTGCTGTTTAGTCTTATTGTACATCATTCTGTTAAAATCCTTAATTAAAACATAGTGTCTCTTTGCCCCCTTAGATATTAGCAGCAGATTTAACACTTTCTCATTTTTCTGCTTTGAGGCATAAATTGGATAACATTGCTCGTTCTCATGCCCAGACACATTAACATTGATGCTATTTTGCTCCTCTATTTTACCATAATGTTTAGTAGCGACTGGGAACTCCACTCCTTTATAATTTAATTCCTGAACCATTTTTCTGTCAGTCTTTTTAAGAGTGATTTTCTGTAAAATTCGAACTTCGGCCTGACACGGTACCTCATCGATTTGGCTGATTTTTGGCATGTAGTCTTAGAATGGTGTCCTAAATACTGCATGCATATTCTAAGGTTCGAATTCTCGTTGGTTTCAAAGATACAGGAATGACAGTTTTGACGAGGCCTCGAGCGGCCGCCATGTTGGTGAACTGAAGGAGATTTACAGTAATTAATTCTAGCCTTATCATTAAAATAACTTAATCGTGACTCATACAGTTGCAAAGAACTATCCTTCCTTCTTTCATTTACCTACTCTTATCTGAAAATGGTTAAGCCTGAGCTACGAACGGCTATAACTTCTCACAGCACTTTTTCGGTACTTAAACGGTACACAAATTTGGTAGAAATTGGAAGGCCAATATCACCCATGCCACATCGATTTAGACTAAGCCATTTTAACTAAACATAGTTTGTTTATAGCTAAGTTAGACTGCTGAATAAAATAATTGGGCAAATGCAACGGAACAGAAATATGATTGCATGAATGCGGAGTGGTTCAGCCACTTGGCCGCTAAAACTTCAAAACAACATTCGGTGAATATTTGAAAAGAAAATTCTTTAAAAATTGATCGTGCCTCTTAAACCCTATCTATCGCTTAAAAAACCCTCCCTTGAAATGTAAACAGATGATCTTTTGATTCTGATCTTGCGAAGAGCTTGAAATATGCGCTAAAATGAAAATTATAAATTTTGTTACACACGGTACTAGCTCAAGTTCGCTCTTCGATTTCCCAGACCAATCGGGAGCCGCTCGTGTACTGCACAGTTACAATTTTCTCTGTAGTATTTCGCTGTATACAGCTACAAATTACATATTTTCTTAGGCGAAGATAACGCAAACGATGTCAATTTTAATCAAAAGGCTAGAAAAACCAACCGTGCACTGTAGCTTTATGCAAATTGTATAGTATTCGATAATTACACGTGTAAACAGGAACCTACCTTTGCTAATGTACACTGTTTGGCAGATCTTTCCAGCGTAAGATATAAAACTAGTACATGAAATGAAATTAAAGAACTCATCAAGTCAAATTACCTGATCGTACCGTCATTACTGAATAATAAGTCCCCAAAATATGACATGGAATGATCGGTGGGAGACGAAGCTATTTTTAGGAGGACAACGAACTGCACGCTGGAACGGAACTGAAATGAACAACCTCAATCAAGTTCAGTCTTCTTGACGCTATTAAACGTTTCCCCCGAATTTGAACAGGAAGTTGTTTTCTATTTTCTTTCTCATTCTTGCATGTATTCTGCAGTTCGCCCACTATTTTTTCGTAACTTTTAATTTTCTAGCTAACTGGAACTGTTTAGAACTACCAACCCCCCTCCCCCCTCCCCCTCTTTGAGTGAACTTTCATTCGGTCTGATTCACAATAATTTTCGAACGGTGACAAAGTGATATTTGAAATGACATTTTATTTAGTATTTTTAAAAGCTCCTTCTTTTTTTCCCGATAGCCAGGAATGTTTTGAACGTAAAGGCTCAAGTGGCGGTGTTTTTCACGACTCTGCTTGTAGACTGACCTCACCACCAGTACCACGGACATAAAATCTGATCGGAGAGGGTCATACAGTAACTGATGGGTCTCTGAAAAGCGAAATGCAGTCACGTGGGGCGAGTAGGGTATATAGATGATGAACTCATTGTTTATAACCCCATAACCGTATCCCAAAAGTCGAGCCAGCCCGGGGCGAACGAACACAATTTTGGGGCCACTGGCCACGCCCTTATGTTTAGCGGGAAATTGGTTGATTAGTCAAATCTCCTTAACTCCACGACCATGCACCTTTCCAAATATAGCCCTTCTTATCATCATATAGTTAGGGCCTCCCGTAAGCATTTGCAACTATTTTGATTTGTAGAAGACTGTTTAACAGTTTCAGGAGCCCATCAAATGGAGCCTCCATCTCCATTAATTTCTTGAGTCAACCCTTTCCCGAGTAGAGTTATAAATAGAACGGCTTGTTTCCCGCGAAAAGTGTCATATTTCCGTGAGTCTCGTATGTCACCGTGAAAAAAAAATGAAGTTGGATGAAGTCGAACTCAGAAGCGCGTCCTTCGACCGTTTTCTTTGTTACTATAAGTCCATTTTTACAATTTTACAGCCGCTGGGATCTGGGTATCATGAAATAAAAGTTAATGAATTACCCGCTGACTGACTGAGCATGAAGCGATGGGCCAAAGGCAGCTAACTGAGGATCACGGAAAGGTTATCTTTGCGAGTTTTTTTTTTGCCATCATACATCCCACATTTAAACATACACCTTGAAAAGAGTCGACGATTAAGCGTTCTGTGGACGATTTGGAACTTTTCGATGATCAGCGCCGAAAAAGTGCCAGGATCATTTGATTTTTGTCATCAGCGTGGAGTGGATTTGGCCGGTTAAGCACCGCGTGCAATAGCGATGACCTAAGTAACAACTAAGGAGGAATGCTTCAGTTCCGAAATTTGAGAAATTGCAGTCTTCCATTACAACTGACTTGTATCACCGTGAGAGTTGCCTGATAAAACTGGCACTTGAAAAGTTGAACAGAAGAGAACAGTTGCTCGACCGTGAAGACAACTCAAAAGTAATTTGCTAACGGAGGAATTTATGACATCGCGCTCCAGTCCAAAGACCCACTTGTCTCAAGAAAAACAAAATGGATTGTATCTGCGCCAAACTGGAATTATGACTGACTAACAGGACAATTCTCGCAATTAATGTAGAAGTTTAGGCCAATTCTTTCCTTCGAATTCGCATCTGTAGATCACTTTTTTGCGAGAAAACAATAGCTGGGCCCGGCGTTACAAAACATAGCAGGGAATCATCACACTAGCTGACGGGAAAAACAACCACAAGGACTACAAGTATTTATTCAGATAAACGCATTTCGGAAAAAAAAAACTTGAAAAACTAGAAATTTGATTAATATTGAGTCATTTAGCCGAAATAAGAACCTCAACGCTCAAAAAATTGGCTAAAGAAAACGAATCCTGTCAGAACTACAGACTGCAGGTAGTAGTTAATCATTACGCATGTAATAGACCAGCTTCATAGCCTCTTAATGTGAGACAAGCAACCAAAATTAAGATTAACATAGTCAGAGTTTAAAACTCTCCACAGTATAATCTACCCTCTAGAAAGAAAAGAAAGAAAATCTCTGAGGGATGAAAACGCTAAAGTCACGTTTCACTAGCTTATGATTGTGTTTGGCCTGTCAACACCGAATTTCCTGCTGTTTGATGAAGTACAATAGCAGTGTCATTACGTCGTTGTGATTGGCTCTTCCCACCGTCGGCGCGCGAAGTCTCCCCTGGGAACCGTTCTAATTATAAATCTACTCGGGAAAGGGTTGTCTCCAAGGGCTTGTATGGGAGATGGAGGCTCCATTTGATAGGCTCCTGACAGTTTTCATTACTTGAATGTCTCGTAAACAACACGAGGTACATGTTCTGATCTCTCCCCCCACCCTTCCCCCATCCATAACAAAAAATTTTCAGACCAACACTGAATTGCATGAAGGTATGTACAAAAATATGACCATCTCGAGGCAAGGTTCATCACTGTAACTTACCACATAAAAGCCTTTTCGTTGTTTGCCATCGACTGATTCTGTTCTGAATACTAAGGTCCCATAAACAACGCCACGTTTAGAAAGAG